GGGTGAAAATGATTTTATAAGAAACTATATGATGCTTCACATATTTATTTATTTATTCCAGAGAAAGGGATTGATAGTATCTTTAAAACTTTATACTTAAATTTATAGCTAATATATAATCAAAGTAGGGAATCAATTGAGGAAACATATTTTTAGTTAGGTGGATGATTAAGCTAGACCACAAAAGAATTCAATTTGGGATGTAATACGTAAAATATAAAACATTGTTCTTTTGTTGGAATGATAAGGCCAGTATCTCTCTAGGCCACTTTTGAGAAGTTGCTCTAAAATAAAATCTACCCTTTTGGATCAAAATGATCACACGTTGCTGCACTTCTTCACCATATATATCCCATCTATTTTATTCATTTATTTGTTAGATATTTTCCACTAAGAGCTAGTTACTAACCGACTTTCCAATTCCCCTTACCTTATTACTTTCCCCCGAATTAAAAAGAACCAGCAGCATCAATACTTCCGCTTTCCACCCTCACGGCTAGAAAACCCATGTCTCCTTCACTTGCCTTTTCTTCCACAAATCAATACCATAATTCTTTCATCTCATCTTCCCTTCAAGTGAAACCATTGGGCAACTTCCTCCTTTGCTTGAGTTACCACCTACACATTAATCTCTCACTTGTGTTTATCTCAATCGGAGCCGCAACCTTAGGATTCTCAGCCCTTAGGCGACTTCATTAAAGAGAAATCCCACCAACTAGAGATAGAGCTGATTTGAAGCCAGAATAAAAGATCTAGAGAAATATGGAAAATTAAAAGGATCAACGGGGTTATAATCTCCTCTAATTCACATTATTTTGCTGTTTTGCTGCCAAGAGCTACAGGTGAGTTTCCATTGCGAGCTTAACTGCATATTCTTGGCTACGTTAATTTACTAAAACGGTATTGAACTTTCTTCAGTAGTTGCTGCTGTAATACTTGTGCTGCCGGTAGTGAATTATTGTAATTGATTGCTTAACCATATTGACTGCTTCACTGGAATACCAATCAGCTTGATGCAATCGTCTGTTTGATGCCTGCGATATTTTTGGTTTGTTTCGATGACTGCTTCTTATGGAACTATGTGTTTGTTGTTCAGTATTGCCTTTCTAATTAATTGTGCATGATTAGTGGATCCATGAACCTGGTAGTGTTTAAACTCGGTGAGTCAGTGATGAGCTGGATTGCTTGGCGAGAACTCTAGAAGGTAGTGTTGGGGTTCTACCCCTAGTGTTCGGGCCCTAGTGTTCGGGGAAATCCTCCCCGAGTGTTCGGGGTTTTGCCCCTAGTTTTGGGGTGTTACCCCTAGTGTTCCAATCGTGAATATATCTTGATCGTTCCCCGAAAAGTGATCACTGGAATCCTTTTGATATTTCGTGACTTGCTCCTTAACTTGAACATACATGAGAACACTGTCTCTCAATTATTCTTGATGGGGCATACTTGGATGATCAATTTCCTTGTAACTGTTTTCTTGACGTGCTTTTACTAAGGCTCTAATTCTCTGCTCCCTGAGCTTGCTGCAAATGTTTGATGTCAAGGTGCCATTGCTTTCTTTGTTGGATATGGTCATGGCAATGTTTCTATTATATTTCAGCATGTTCTACACTGCTGCTGTTAATGATTCCTACTTTTTTAGTGCTGCTTGCTATCGTTTATCTTTGCTTGATTATGTAGTCTTCTAAATTTAGCAGTTCGGTAAACAATGGAAATTCATTGAGCGTGCACTCACCAAACGCATACTATTTTTTTCAGGAATACGGGTCATTTAGTACTCATCAGTTGTACGAAGTTGTATGAGGTTTACGATCTAACTTGGGATTTGAAGTCCAGTACCTAGTGATAGCAGCTTTGCATTTTAGATATTGACTTGTAATTTTGAAAGCTTGCAATAAAGCTTATCATTTGAGATTATGTAATAGCTGCTGTAGTATGAATAAATTGTGTATCAAGGAACTTATCTTTCAGAAATGTTTTAGTTTTGCTCTTGATCACCGATTCCGACTGTTTACTAAGACCTGGCGAGAGCCAGGCAGGCGTTTCGGTTATGCCTCCTTTTATAATGAAGGGGGACTAGTCGGGGCGTTACAATGCATGCTGAAGATGTGGTATTGAGTACTAATTTGTATCATTTGGGAAGTAAGAGTATAGTTTTTAAACAATGGTCTATTGAGAAAGGGATTAACTACAAGGAAGTGATGAAAGTACCTGTATGGATATAACTAAGGGGTTTGGAACTAAAATACTTGAATAATGCTCCTCTTAGCCGAATAGCTAGAACTATAGGTATCCCAATTATGACTGATAAACTTGCTGCTAGCAGAAAAAGAGTTAGCTATGCCTGTATGTTAGTGGAGATGGAAGTACAGCAGAAAGTGCCTAATAAAATCTATTTTGAAGATGAGAATGGAACTATAGAGGAGCAGGGTGTATTTTATGAATGGAAGACAGTTATATGTGACTGTTGTAAGGAGTATGGGCATACTACTGAACAATGTAGAAGTGATCCAAAGAAACAGCATAACTGGAATCTCCCAGGGAAAGCAATTCAGGGGAAAATCGTTAATAAACCAGTTACTGAAGAGTTGAGGGAAGTGATTAAAAAGCCAAGGAATACTGGAATGGTTAGTTCTCAGCAAGCCGGGGACAATGAAAAGAGTACAGAGTCAGGGTTGAATCATACTAGATCAGATGATGGTTAAATTGCATGACGGTTGAGGTCAAGAAATACTGGCATTGTAATGCATCAGCAACCTGAGGAAATGGTCAAGGCTACAGGGAAGGGGATTGTAACTAAAAGACAAGAGGTTGGTGAAGATGAAAGAAATTAGGCAGTAAGGACTAGTATATTCACTGCAGGGTGTTGCTCTATAAATATAGAAGGGGGAGACAATATGAAGATGATAGGTGGAGATCAAGCTCTAGACCCTGATTTAGGGATCTATGAGTAATATCTTAACCTGTAACATAAGGGGCTTCAATGCCCCTTTAAAGTAGAAGGAAATAGCTAGAATCCTGTCTGCAAATATGATATCTCTAGCATGTATAGTTGAAACCAAAATAAGGAGAAAGAGGAGGAAATAAACAAGAATTATTGGCCACAATGGCAAATGTTTAGTAGCTATGACAGAAGGGGTAAAGGAAGACTATTTATTCTGTGGAGTCGAAATATGGAAGTGGAAGTTCTAAGCCATAGTGATCAGATGGTTTACTGTAAAGTGAGATCATTGGAATTGAATTTTCAATTATTCTTTATAGGAGTATATGCATCGAACAGTGGTACTGAAAGGAATCAGCTATGAAATGACTTAATGAAGATGAAAGAAGATATTCAAGTCCGCGGCTTGTTACTGGTGATTTTAACAATGTCTTGAAAGAAGAGGAAAAACTAGGGGTAGATTGGTGCAGTTGACTGATATAGAGTATTTCCAGATGTGTGTGTAGACATGCCAATTGCAAGACGAGAGACAAGTTGGACCAATGTTCACATGGTGCAACAAGTAGTTGAGAGAAGATAGAATAATGGCTAAATTGGATAGGGCTATGATCAATGGTGAATGGATTGAGCTGGAAAATAAATCCCTTGCAGTGATAATAGATGCGTGATCAAGATACAAGGAGAAGTAATCAGTAAACCGAGGTCTTTTAAATATATGAATATGTGGAAATTGGATCCATGCTTTCAGAGTACAGTTCAGGAATGTTGGAATCAGCCAGTGGATGGTACTAAGATGTATCAGCTTTCAAGTAAATTGAAGAGACTGAAGCAACCATTGACGGCACTCAATTGGGGAATGTTGGCTGATATCCAGGTTCAAGTACAAAAGGCACAAAGTAAGCTCCAGAGGGTAAAACAGAATCTGATGCAGCAGCCGGAAAATATAGAACTGCAAGTTGAGCAAGAGCCGCGTATCAAGACTTTGTTACTCTAAGCAAAGCTCATGAAAGTTTTATCAGGCAAAAGGCTAAGGAGGATTGGCTAAGGGTAGGTGATGATAACATAGCATTCTTTTACTCCAAAATGAAGCAAAGGATAATGAAGAATAGAATTTGGAGCATAACAGATTCGAATGCAGAAGTGATATGAGACTGGGAGCAGATTGAAAATCATTTTGTTCACTTCTTTCAACAGCAACTAGGGCAGTCCACCAGAAGGAAACCAAGTCAATCTGAGGTATTCTTGCAAGGTGCTAAACTCAAAGTTAAGGATCAACTGCAACTAATTAAACCTGTCACTAAGCAAGAGATTAAACAGGCATTGTGGGATATTCATAGTAACAAGAGTCCATGTCCGGATGGATTCGGAAGTGATTTCTTCAAAACAGTCTGGAAGATTGTAGAGAAGAATTTCTGTGGAGCAATTATGGAATTCTTCAAATCAGGTCAACTGTTAACTCAACTAAACTCTACTGTTATTGCTTTAATTCCTAAAACAGAGATTCCAAAAGATGCTAGTCAGTACAAGCCCATATCTTGTTGTAAAGTAGCCTACAAAGTTATTTATAAAGTGAAATAAATACATGCAAATTCTCTCCCTAAAAAAATATTCTCTCGCCTCTCTCTAAAACCAAACCCTAAATTTGTCCGAACATGAACAGGGCGGCTACAAGGCCGCCGGATGATGGCCAGAAAAAGCTACCTTCTTTTGCACAAATTCTAAATGTCTCTAAAACCAAACCCACGAAACCTCATTCAACCATCTGAAAAACATAATCTGGAAGCGCCATTCATCACTTCGCAGCCTACAATAGTCAAAGGAGAACTAGCCTTTTTACTCTCGAAAGAAGAAGATGAGAAACTAGCCGCGCCTTTCAAATTCTGTTTGGTCGCAAATTTTCCAAGGGACGGCCAAAAATGGAGTATTTATGGAGTCTACGATTGGGTATAAAGGAAGCTTTTCTCTAGGAATGATAGATCATCGTCATATTTTGATCTATTTTGATCTTGAAGAAGATTACCATAGGTGTTGTATCAAGGGTTTATGGTCCTATGATCATCACATCATGCGGGTGCTCAAGTGGACTCCACGATTTAATACAGAACAAGAATCATCTACTACTCCAGTGTGGGTGTCATTTGAAGGCCTTCGTGTTCATAGATTCAATAAAGAGTATCTTGGTAAGCTTTCAAACATAATAGGTACGCCGCTAAAAATTGATGTTCCTACGCTAAACATGTCAAGGCCTTCCATTGCTAGGGTTTGTGTGGAAGCCGACTTATTACATTAATTGCCTAAACGAATTTTATTGGGGCGGAAGAGTTTTCTTATTTTCAGCAAGTTACGTATGAGAATTTGCTGGAGTATTGCATGAATTGTAGAAAAATTGGTCATTCAGCCGTCAACTCTCGGCATGGAAAACAGAAGTCTGCGAATCAACTTGCGACTGTGAGTTGCGCGACAGTGGGGATTAAGAATCCGATCCCCACAAAGAAAACTGATATTGGTGTCCCTCCCAAGCCCTTAGCACCAGAATACGCTTGGGGAAAAAAGGATACTGTGGAAAAGAATGCTGGTCAGGCCAATAATAAAGGGCAAGAAGGCTCTACATCGGGTCTGACAGAAAAGGAGAAACAACAAATTCTGACAGATGTTGTACAACTTAGCACTCTAGTTGAGCAAGTGAGCAGATTACTTTCAAATGAAAAGTTAAGTGCTATCCTTGAAAAAATCTCCCAGGAAGAAAACCTAAAAACAACTTGGGAAAATGATGGAAAAATTGAAGATCTTGAAAACATGAATACTCAACTTGTGGTGTATACGGAGCCAACAGTTTCGATTCCAACAATCAATCTCTCATCACGCTTTGATCTTCTCAAGAACTTGCAAGAGGATCAAATAAATGATACAGGTGAAAGGGACATAAATCAAGGTAATGAATTCTTAGATGAAGTCGCGAGTGAGTCGGATGTGGAAATGGCTTATGATGAAACTGTAAAGGAACAAGAGGAAGGTTTAATAACAGAGGAAAGAAGGATTCACGATGATGTTCAAGTTGGTTTACTTGATGAAACAATAGAAGATGCAAGGTTGGTTGTTTCAGATGGAGAAGACAATAAGAAGAAAAGAGGGAGGCCGGAGGGTTCAACAAAAGAACAAAGAATAAGAGCCTCAGAAACTCGTCGATCGACGAAATTGCTTGGTGAGTCTCCACAGAAAGTTTCCCAATGAGTAGCATCCTTATATGGAATATTCATGGTGTCGGTAATAAAGCATCGATCAAACGATTTAAAAGTTTGATCCGAGTGCACTCTATTTCAGTAGTAGTTCTGCAAGAGCCAATGCAACCGGCTGTTAAACTTGAAGAGCTGAAAAATAAATTGAATTTTTCTTCTACTAAGATGTCATCAACAGGAAAAATATGGGTTCTTTATTCACAGCAGTGGAGTATTACAGAGTTGGGGGGTCAGAACAAGTCTCGCATCTACGGTTGGAACATGTAGCATCTTCCAAATCTTTTCTCTTGTCTGCAGTTTACGCAAAGTCCACTCGCCAGGGAAGATCTCATTTGTGGACAGAATTAAAAAATTTCCAGCAGCTCTATGACATGGAGCCCTGGATAGTTGGAGGGGACTATAATGTGATACACAACACAATAAAGTATGAAGGCTCATCTCAGCCTGATATGGGACCAATTGACGACTTCAATAGTTGGATTAACGACTGTAAACTCATTGATTTGACGCTGGTGGGAAATCTTTATACTTGGAAAGGAACACGTCAAAATGGAATGGTGGAAAAGAGATTGGACAGGGTGTTGTTTAATCAGGAGTGGCTAACTTTCTTTCCGATCGCTTCAGTGCACCATCTAAATCGAACAACGTCGGATCACTCTTCTTTACTGCTTAAATACAAATCCGATGTGGGACCAGCCCCTTGATCAATCAGGAGTGCTTGGTTTTTCCTTGAAGTTATGACGATCAAAAGATTGTCTGAAAGTATAGAACAAGGCTGAATGTGGGGATGTTTATCAGAATCTAAAAGAAGCTGAAGACGAGGTTCGTAATAAAGAATTAGTCTACGATAAAACTGAGGATGAAACTGATCGAGCTGAACTTCACAAAGCGCAAGCTCATTTGCTTAATAAGTTGTGAGAACAAGAAGATTTCATCTAGCACAAGTCCAAATTGAAATGGCGGCACGACAGGGATCTAAATACATCTTTCTTTCATGCCTCATTTGTAGAGAAGAAGTCTAAGCTGGGAATTCATAAGATAAGAAAGGCGGATGGAACATGGATCACTGATCAGGCAGGGATTGAACAAGAAGCAGTGTCGTTTTTTCAAACTTTACTCACCAAAGAGGAGTCTTCAACTCATGAAGAAGCTTGCGAGAATATTCTTCACAGCATTCCGTCTGGTCACGAATGAAGAAAATGGAAAACTGTTGGAAATGCCCTCCATGGAAGAGATCAAGGATGCTGTTTTCAGCCTTGATCCGTCAAGTTCCCCAGGAGTAGATGGATTTGGGGGCGAATTCTACCAAAACTGCTGGAGCATTATAAATCATGATCTCAAGTCGGCATGTGAAAATTTTCTTGCTGGAAGTCCTCTACCACGCGCAATTGGAAGCACCGTCGTAACTCTGATTCCCAAAAAGGCAACTGCGACATCTTTTGCGGATTTTAGGCCCATTAGTATGTGTAATTTCGTCAATAAGGTGTTCACAAAGTTTCTGACCGAAAGGCTGAAACTAATCCTCCATGGTTTAATTTTTGAAGAACAGTCAACCTTTGTTGCGGGATGAGATATTGTGGATAACGTGTTGATGACTCAAGACTTGATCCAATTCCTAGATCATCCATCAAGAGGGGGTAATTTAATCATTAAAATTGACATGATGAAGGCCTTTGATAGGGTTTCGTGGAGTTTACTTCAACGGATTCTCAAAAGGTTTGGTTTTCATGACAAATTTATTGGACTCGTGATGTCTAATCTTGGAAGAAGTTGGTTCTCTATTCTACTGAATCGTAGCCCAGTCGGTTTCTTCCAAGCCACGCGAGGGATTAAGCAAGGAGACCCCCTTTCTCCTTACTTATTTATCTTAGTGTCGGAAGCTCTATCGAGGAATATGAGAACTCTAACCGATGCGGGGAAGTTAGTGCTCTATGGAGTTCCCGCGGGTCAAAGATTGTATCACATCTTAGCTTTGCGGATGATCTCATTATATTCACCAAGGGTTTGAAGACTTCAATGAAGAAACTGAATGATTTTTTCAATGATTACGAAGATGTGACGAGGCAGAGAATAAATAAACAGAAAAGTATGTTTCTAACTTTGGATGGAATCAGTGCGAGGCAGCTTGAAATCATCTCCGAAACGCTCAAATGCCAAAGGGAAACCTGCCTTTTAAATACCTTGGTTGCAATCTCTTCAAAGGAAGGAAAAAGGTAGAATATTTCAATCACCTTCTATAAGCAGTGGACGCAAAGGTATGCAATTGGAAAAAACAGAATGCTTTCCATGGGAGGACGATTGATTTTAATAAGGCATGTGTTGAGAGCTACACCAATCCATACTGTAGCCACCTCAGTTCTACCCAAAGTCCATTATGACAACTATTGAAAAGAAATGTCAAGATTTTTTATGGGGTGAGAATGAGTATGGACCTAATTGACACTGGCGCTCCTGGAAGAAATTAGGGTTCCCAATTGCTGAAAATGGGCTTGGATTTAGAGCACTTGAAGATACCATCAATGCGTTTTCCATGAAATTGTGGTGCAAGGTTCAAAATCAAGCACGAGTGTGGGCTGTTTTTGTCACCTCTCTTTCTGAAATGGCCAAGGAAAGAACTAGTTGGAGTCGAGTTAAGAAAGTTGAAAATTTGGCAAGGCCAAAATCCTGGATAATATTGGAGGTTCATCTTCTTTTTGGTTTGATCCTTGGATGGTCGCGGGCTCTCTCTGGAACGAAAATACTCCACCACCTTTTCAATCTCTAACAGTAAAGGAATTTTTTATCTCTAAGTCTTTTTTCTTGCAGGAAATTGGGAATTTTTTGGACCAAGCAGTGAAGAATCAACTTGCAAATATGGTGGTCCAATTCACCGAGACAAAGAATCGCCTAATTTGGATGCCCTTGGTTTCAGGGAGTTTCTCTTTCTCATCTGCCTATTCTGAAGTTCGAAATAAACTGCCTGAAAATCATGTTCTTGAAAAATTTTGGAATAAATGCATCCCGCTCGAAGTGTCTTTTTTCATTTGGAAATTTTATAATAAGATGTTGCCATTTCCTGAGGTTTTGCAAAAAAATAGGTTTTATTTTACGGCCATCAAGATGTTCTTTTTGTGGAGAAGCAGAGGAAGATATAGATCATGTCTTCTTCCATTGTAGGAATATAAAGCCTCTTTGGTAAGTTTTATCAGCTGAACAAGGTATTTCTTTGTCAATAATACAGGATGGAGAAATATAGTACAAGCGTGGCAACAAATAGGAAGCTTCTCCCCTGCCAAAAAAACAATAATGCTTGTCTTACCGGCCTTCATATTATGGGAGATATGGAAATACAGAAACAAAATGATCTATGAACTCATTAAGGCTATTAAACCTCACATTTTCAATATGTTGAGTATTCATAAGCTCAAAGCTCGAGATTTAGTAGAACAAAGAGCCATCGAGCAAGTTTTTCACTTTAAAGTGGCACCCTTCAAACCAAAATGTGCGATATCAATCAAGTGGTAGCCAACTGATCCGGGAGAAACAACTCTTAACACGGATGGATCGGCTTTGGGTCAACCGGGAGCAGCGAGATGGGGATATGTACTAAGAGGCCATAATAGTGAATTTCTCGTGGCAGAATGTCAACATATAGGCATGGCAACAAGTTTTGAAGCGGAACTAGCTGTAGTACTTAATGGTCTTCAATACTGCTTGGTTGTGCAATCTGATAATATGGCGGTGGTCAATTTTCTTTGCCAAAATCAGCCTTTTCCATGGAAGCATCATCATCAACTTAAGAAAATCAAACGCTTGCTCACTCTTTCCAACTCCAAAATAATACATGTCTACAGAGAGGTTAACACCATGGCAGATGAGTTAGCAAAAATGACATCAAAAGGTTCAACTATACAATATGGCTCAAGGGAGCAACTTCCAGTCTCCTTACTAGGAAAATGGTATTTGGACAAGTGCTCCTTCCCTTACATTAGGGTTAGGTAGTTCACAGTCTATTTTTCTTTTTTCTAATTTTTTGCAAGTACTTGGAGATGTCAGGGGATTAATGTTTTAAACCTTTGTAAGGCATTCTCCTAGGTATAGCTTTAAACAGAAAAGAATTGTCAGGGGATATTATATTATCTTTGTAAGACAATTCATAGTCGTAATTGCATAGGAACCGTCGAAAGTTTGTAGTAAAACTTTTGTAAGACGGTTTTCCTTTTCCATTTGGGTAAGTTTTAAGCACTGTCTTATGTAATTTTTTCCTTTATATTAATAATATCGGGGTCCTCCCGCCAGGTACCGTCCTGGATTTCCCTAAAAAAAAGTTATTTATAAAGTGTTATGCAATAGACTTTGTAATGTGCTTCCTTTCATTGTTGATGGAAATCAAAGTGCTTTTGTGAAGGATAGAATTATACTCCATAATATACTAACGCAAGAACTGATTAGATGTTATGGAAGGCAAAATGTTAGTGGTAGATGCCTAATGAAAATTGATCTTAGGAATGCTTACGATTCGGTAGAATGGGAGTTTGTAAAGGAATGTATGGTAGGTTATGGGTTTCCTGAAAAAATTTATAAACTGGATTATGGCATGTATAACTACTACAAATTTTACTCTCTGTTTGAATGGAATTAATGTGGGGTTTTTTTAAAGAGAGAAGAGATTTGAGTGAGGGAGACCCGGTTTCCCCACTACTTTTTGTGTTAGTCATGGAATACTTTACTAGGCAACTGAAAATGGCAACAAACCACCGTAAGTTTCAATTTTATCCACAATGTAAAACCATGAAATTGACAAATATATGTTTTGCTGATGACCTTATGGTCTTTTGTAAGCCTGATGAATTTACAGTGGGTAGAATAATGGTGAAATTTAAAGAGTTTTCGGACACATTAGGACTTAGGGCTAATGTTGAATAGTCAAATATCTATTATGGTGATGTGCCTATGTGGTTGAAACAAAAGCTAGGTGATCTGGCTGGATTTCAGGAAGAAATTTTCCCCATGAAATATGTAGGCGTTTCATTGGCTTCAAAAAAGTGAAATCAATTGAAATGCCAAAGCTTGGTTGATAAAATAGTAAGTAGAATTAAATGTTAGAGCACAAGGAAACTTTCATATGCTGCTAGATTACAACTAGTGAATTCTGTATTGTCTCATATACATGTGTATCGGGCCACTGCGTTTATATTACCTAGATGTATCACAGAATGGATTAATAGATATTGCAAAGAGTTTTTATGGGGTGTGAAGGAATCGGGGAGATACATATCACTGGTGGGCTGGGATTCTGTATGTTGAGGGAAAATAGAAGGAGGTTTGGGTATTCAAGATGCTCGGGTGTAGAATGATGCTGCTATATTAAAGCAGATATGGTGGATTGCTTAGAAAAAAGGATAATTTGTGGGTGAAATGGATAAATGACCTGTATTTGAAGAAAGAAACAAATTGGGAAGTCCAAGCAAAGCCTCACAGCTGATGGCATTGGAAACAACTATTGAAGATTCGGGATAAAGAGAAGAGTATGTTTAAAGGAGACAAATGGATACTGAGTACAACAAGCAAATACACTGTGGCTGCAGGATATAATTGGATGATTGGAACTAAGGAGAGAATGGAAGCTGCAACATGGATATGATCAAGGATAAATGTACCTAAACATGCATTCATTACTTAGCTATTATGGAAAGAGAGAATGTGGACAATGGACATATTACAG